CCCAGGGGGATAGCTTGAGGCTCTGTCTAAAAAAAAAAAAAAAAAAAAAAAACCAAGCAAGAGAAATAAGAAAAGCCTTTGGAATATGTTTGAGTTTTTACCTGATGCCATAGGTAATTCTCTCTTGACCCAGGAATTCATGAAATGTTCTCCCTGAAGAAAATTTAAATTCAAGTTATTGCTTGTTTGGTTTGTAAAAAAAAATACCCCTATCTATGAACAAGACCTGAAAGAAACCCACCCCCTCATGGAGAGTTTCATAGGATGGAATGGCAGGGTTATTGTAATCATTTCTTCAATTAATTTCTATTAATGGTGAAATTATCTTTATACAGTGCTAACACACACACACACACACGCACAAAATGAACATTTACCAACACCCAACAGGAAGCCTTCTCAAACTTGTTGTTTACAGAAACCTATCTCAAAAAAAAGAACTGCATTTAGATGTCACAGATACACTTTGACTAATAAGGAAATAAGAGACAGGACAGAAACTAGATTCAGAAGGGCATTACACATTGAGCAACGGATTCTTCTGGGATCACTGCACTCAGGTTTCTTTATGAAGAAACACACCTCTTCCTACTTTCAGGAGGATGTTCTCCATGGGACTCTTCTGAGTCATGTTAGCCAGTATATCCTCTTTTTTGCTTAAGCCAGTTTGGGTTGAATTTCTCCTCACTGGCCACTATGGAATTCTTGCTGATCCAGAATAAATAACTACCTGGGAAAGTCAGTTCTGAGGCCGGCTGGGGGTGATGAGCCTAGGTCAAAGGCTCTTACACGGGCATTCAGATAGGGACACAAAGGGCAGCTGGGCATGTGGCCGCAGTCAAGGGGGGACTATCAGGAAGGCGAGCAGAGCTGATCCAAAGCCGGCCTGGAGAAAGGAATTCTAAGACTCTGGTCTAATAAGAAAATGTGCTAATTTTTATACTGTGCAGATAAGAGTCAAGGGAATGAAAGAAGGGAAGAAAGAAATTGAACCCTCAACATATATAAACAACTCCTCCCCCCTTCTGATTCAGATATTATTAGGTGAACAAAAGACAACTTGAGAAAAAACATTGCTGTTATAAATTACCGTTACATCAACAAATCCCTTGTAGCTTTGAATATACTGGGCGATTTCCTCGGAAGATTTCTTTCTTTGAAGAAATTCACATCTATAATTAATACATATAATTAAAATTTATCTCAATTCTGTGATAGAGATGCCCTATATCTCAAGGAACACTCATTAAAGGGTATTGAATTGTTGGATTTTATTATACATCAAGAAAACTGTTTTACCTCAAAACTCATGAGAATTATCATTGTTCTCATATATTAATAACTATTTTTTATATTGAGTAGTGATGTGTAATTTAGAATTAAATCTTCAGATTATCTTTTCTCTTGAAACAAAATACACCATACAAAGAGACCCTGATTTACAGTAAATTATAGGACAGTTTTTGTTTTTTGAATTAAGCTGTGGTGACTGACTCTAGCTTCTGTGGTCATATGAAAGTTGCTGGCAGGAAAGAGAACTACATTTAAAAAAACTAATATAGGCTCAGCGCCTGTGGCTCAAGTGGCTAAGGCGCCAGCCACATACACCTAAGGTGATGGGTTTAAATCCAGCCTGGGCCTGCCAAACAACAATGATGGCTACAACCAACAAATAGCTGGGCGTTGTGGCAGGCACGTGTAGTCCCAGCAACGTGAGAGGCTGAGGCATGAGACTCACTTTAGCCCAGGAGTTGGAGGTTGCTGTGAGCTGTGATGCCACAGCACTCTACCCAGAGGGACAGTTTGAGGCTCTGTCTCAAAAATAAATAAATAAATAAATAAATAAACGAATATATGTATTTATGTATATATATTTCATCTACTGGAAAAAAGTACTATGCCTTAAATATGTAATAAATAATAATTTATAAATTTTGAATTGATTTCTTTTTCTTTAGAGCAAATCATGATGTGACATATTTTTAATTATTATTTTATTTATTTATCTTTTATATTTTATTTTTATATATATATATATTTTTTTTTTTTTTTTGAGACAGAGCCTCAAGCTGTCACCCTGGGTAGAGTGCCATGGCATCACAGTTCACAGCAACCTCCAACTCCTGGGCTCAAGCGAGTCTCCTGTCTCAGCCTCCCAAGTAGCTGGGACCACAAGTGCCCGCCACAATGCCTGGCTATTTTTTAGTTGCAGCCATCATTGTTGTTTGGTGGGCCTGGGCTGGATTCAAACCCGCCACCTTAGGTGTGTGTGGCTGGCGCCTTAGCCACTTGAGCCACAGGCGCCAAGCCTGTAATGATGTTTTAAACAATGTTTTTTACTTTCCAATTTCCTTTGTACACCCATTTTACACCACCCCACAGACATTACATTTATTTATTTATTTATTTATTGTAGAGATAGAGTCTCACTCTATCGCCCTCGGTAGAGTGCTGTGCTGTCATAGCTCACAGCAATCTCCAACTCCTGGGCTTAGGCAATTCTCTTGCCACAGCCTCTCGAGTAGCTGGGACTACAGGCACCCACCACAATGCCTGGCTAGATTTTTCTTGTAGTTTGGCTGGGGCCGGGTTTGAACCCGCCACCCTCGGTATATGGAGCCAGAGCCCTACCCACTGAGCCACAGGTGCTGCCCAGCTAGTTTTTTTTTTTTTTTTGAGACAGAGTCTCACTATGTTACCCTCGGTAGTGTGCCATGGCATCACAGCTCACAGCAACCTCAAACTCTTGGGCTCAAGCGATTCTCTTGCCTCAGGATCCCAAGTAGCTGGGACGACAGGCGCCAGCTACAATGCCCAGCTATTTTTTGTTGCAGCTGTTATTGTTGTTTAGTAGGCCTGGGCCAGGTTCGAATCCCCCAGCCTCAGTGTATGTGGCTGGCCCCATAACCACTGTGCTATGGGTACAGAGCCAAGCTTTTTTGTCTTTAAAAAGGCTATATTCGATGGCTCACACTTGTAATCCCAGCACTCTGGGAAGTCGAGGAAGATAGACTGGCTGAGCTCAGGAGTTAGAGACCAGCCTGAGCAAGAGTGAGACCCTGTCTCTAAAAAAATAACCAGGTGTTGTGGTGGACACCTATAGTCGCAGCTACTCAGGAGTTATGATGCCATGACACACAACCAAGGGTGACAAAGTGAGACTCTATCTCAAGTTTTAAAAAATCTAAAAATTTTAAGCAAATAATATTTATCTACTTACTTGGGGAACCACTTGGCATGTTCCTTCCAAGGATCATCTCCTTCTTCCCAATTTCCTAAACATCCACTGCAAGAAAAACACTGCACAGTGTCCCTTTCACCTGCACACGAAGGAAAACATTTAGATTGCTCAGCAATGACACCAGAGGCTGGATCCCCAGAGTTGAATGTTGTGTGGAGGAACAGAGCCTGCCCCCAGCACACCTGTTTATGCATAATCTCATCTGGCTGAATCTCCACCCACAGTTCTCCTGCCCAGAGTGGCCACTTTCTAAGCTCTGGAAGGACTCTTCCCAGCAACGGCTATACTTCATATATAGAACCATAAGCTATTTAACTCAATATGCCTGCCCCAGTCGCTACCCAGAGCTGCTATGTCACTCTTAAGGCTGTCAAGGCCAAAGTAATGGGGAAGCAGACGGATGCCAGGACTAGCTGAACTAACACACAGAAGACCTAAGTTTTAGGCCAGGCACTGTGGGATTCATGCCCATAATCCTAGCACTCTGGGAGGCCAAGGAGGGTGGATCACCTGAGTTGACAGGTATGAGACCTTGTCTCTAAAAATAGCTGAGCATTGTGGCGGGTACCTGTAGTTCCAGCTACTTGGGAGGCATAGGCAAGAGAATTGCTTGAGCTCTGTGAGCTATGATGCCATGGCACTCTACCAAGGGCAACAAAATAAAACTGTCTCAAAAAAAAAAAAAAAAACCCTAAGTTTTAGCTTTGCCATGACATTTCAGTAGAAACATGGCCACATATCCTAACCTCTATGAGCCACAGTGAACTCAGGTGTGGACAGGGGAGAACAGGGTAAATTTGTTGTATGAGAATTAGTACTCAATCTGCCCTGCCTTACATAAACTAGTTGTAGTAATTCTCATTTATATCTGTCATAACATCCATAGGTTGGCTAGGAGAATTCAGATAAAATGCAGTTCAACCCAAGCATTAGTGTTCTGTTAAGATGAAAACAAACAAAAATCCTCCAATACTGTAGCAATTAAAAGAATAGAACAAGGCTGAGTGGGGTGGCTCTATACTATAATGCCAGCATTTTGGAAGACTGTAATCCCAGCATTTCAGGAGGATCGCTTGAGGCCAGGAGTTCAAGAGCAGCCTGGGCAAGAGTGAACCCCCATCTCTACAAAAAATAGAATTAAGGAGAGGTCATGTGAGAGCAGAAGGAGGAGGGTGGGTGAGGAAGGAGACTGGGATCAGGCTAATCTCATGATTTATTTTCAGCACCTTTAGAGTACAGCCAGTATTATTCTAGAGTGCAAATATAAGGAAAGATAACTTTTTTCTTTCTTTTTTTTTTTTTTTTTTTACACAGAGCCTCAAGCTGTCACCCTGGGTAGGGTGCTGTGGCATCACAGCTCACAGCAACCTCCAACTCCTGGGCTCAAGCGAGTCTCCTGCCTCAGCCTCCCAAGTAGCTGGGACCACGGTGCCCACCACAACGCTGGCTATTTTTTTGGTTGCAGGCGTCATTGTTGTTTGGCAGGCCCTGGCTGGATTTGAACCTGCCACCTTAGGTGTATGTGGCTGGCGCCTTAGCCACTTGAGCCACAGGTGCCGAGCCAGCTTTTCTTATTGTATATATATAGCTGGCAAATGAACGCATGCTGTACTAAAAGAGGGCACAGTTAGTGAGAATAAGATGGAGTAGCCAGGCCATGGCCAACAGGACACAGTTTAGGTCCCAAGTGACCTTTACCTTCTGCCTCCCATTCTTACTCAGCTTTAACCTAGAGTACTTTAGGGGAATTGACTTAGGGGATTAACTTTTGAATTAGAAATGTTGTTTTGGGTCATGAGTTATGTCCATTATTGTTTTTATTACAGGTCATGAGTTATGGCCATTAATGTTAAGTGTTAATTACTGTTGTTTAAGATAGGGGTTAGGATGTTTCTGGCTTTTAACTTTTACGTATAAAACTGTGATTTTGGAAATGCAAGAGCAGAAGGGTGTTGGACAGGCTCCTCTCCCTATTCTCCAGAATTGCCAGCCTTCTGACAAATAGAGCTAGGTGGACCTATGCCCATCTCTGCTTATTGGATGACAGTGACAAGTGGCTAGACTGTCTTAGTCTGGTGACATACATATAAAATAAACTAAAATTACTAAAGTTGAATTTTAATAAAATAGACCTTATAACTAATGTTATAAGGCCACACTTACAAATGGGGAAACAGTCACAAAATGTTGCAAAAGCCACTGAAACACGGAGCCTACATGTAAAACTCCAGGGAAACACTTCAGAAAACGATTTCGAGTTACCTGTAAAGACAAAGCCGGCGGCAGAAAGTGCACGTGGGGATGTCGCTTGGGCATAAAACGGCCAGTTCTTGAAGGATTCAAGTCTAGCCTCCTCTTCTTTGTACCTCGCCTTGTCCCTTCTCAGCTTCTTCTCTGGACTCTTCACTCGTACTTCGTACTTGCCAATGTTACCGACATCTCTGCTCAGAAGGAACTCACAGTCTTGATGGAAGGTCTTGTGGTCTTCTATGGGGACTCTCCGGAGGCTGGTACCAAAGAGGATTAAGCTGCAACAGAAGCACTGAATCCCGGTTTTCACCCCAGTGAAGTAAAACCCAGCTGCTGCCATCTCCTGTGGTGTCCACGAGCCATCCTGTGGGTGGGTCTCGAAAGTCTTTAACCGTCTGGCCTCGCTGCGCATTTGTGCGTTATACCCCTTCTGCATTGTCACGCGGTAGCTCTGCTCCTCCTCTTCTAGGTTCTTTGCAAAACTAATGGCATCCAGGCCCATAAGAGGAGACACCTCGGAGAGCCAAGCATAATCAAACTGGGAAATCCTCTCCTGAGGGGCCTGCTTCGGGGTGGCCATTTTCTGAAACAGGAAAGGACAGTAGGTCAATTAGTTATAGCGATGTTTTTATTATTATATAACAGCATTTGCTAGTGCTTCTGAAGAAGCCAGGAATTGAAAGAATGCCTGGATTTTAAAGACAAAAGAGAAACTGGGAAATTATAAAACCACAATATTCATTTATTTAATCTATCAACAAATATTTACTGAGCACCTATGGTGTATCAAGCGCTATCCCCCCACAGCAAACCAGACAGGCACAGATCTGACTCCCTGGATGGCCAGGCACGGTGAATGACGCCTGTGATACCAGAACTCTGGGAGGCTGAGGAGGGTGGATCGCGTGAACCCAGGAGTTAAGAGACCAGCCTGAGCCAGAGTGAGACTCCATTTCTTAAAAAATAGCCGGCCATTGTGGTGGGCACCTGTAGTCCCAGCTACTTGGGAGGCTGAGGGAAGAGAATCACTTGAACCCAAGGGTTTGAGGTTGCTGTGAGCTGTGACACCACAGCACTCTACCCAGGGCAACAAAGTGAGACTCTGTCTCAAAACAAACAAACAAAGAATTCTATTCACAGTACCATTTCATCAATGACACAGCTTTGAATAACTGAAAAAACTCAGAAGACTCCACATGGTACACTTCCGTAAGGCCTTAATAATGGCAAAGGATGATACCTTTACCATTATTAAGACTAAGGAACACCAGGTGCAGTTCCTAGGACCTTTTCCAGTGGCAGAGAATGTGCTTCATCTTTAGGTAATGAACCACTTAGATGCATGCAAGACGCGTTGGCCTCAGGGAAACTAGATCTGTACCTGAGGAGGGATCTTTTCCACTCCTCTGGTCAGCTAGCCAAAAGTAGGATGCACAACCAGCCTCAGAACAAAGAAAAGCTGGTATAAGGTCCCCTCTGATCTAAACAGACCCCAGCACAGGACGACAGGACAGGACTACAGGACTACAGGGCTACAGGACATTTCATTCAGGTTTGGCCAATGGATAGCACCAAGGCTCTCTGCTTCCTTAGAGATAAATAAGTACAAGGTTGCAACAGACCAGCTGCCATCAATCCTGCATTGCCACAGCAGAGTGCAGCAGTCGATTTTGCTAGTCTTGAAGCTGTTCAGGAGAGCTGATTTCCAAGGCTTCTCCAGGTTTAATGTTCCTTGATTACAGGTCCTAAGAAGAGTGTCATCACTGCAGCTGTGTCATGGAGCTAGGATTTAAATCCATGCCTGTGTGACTCTAGAGTCTGTCTTCTTCCTTCTATACCAGCCTGCCTCCAAAGAGAAAAACAAGAGCAAGAGCAAGAGAAAGAAGGTGGGCATAAGAGTAGGTGTGGAAGAAAAGCACCTTTGCCAGAAATAGGAATTCACTAACCTGCAGATTTGTCCAGAGTCCCAGGCAAATGCAAGGAGAGTGCTGGCCTGTAGGAGAACCTGCAGCTTTAACTACAAATGCTTTGTGTGTGTCTTTTAGTGGGAAGCACTGAGAAAATGTTTGAGGAACTAAACCTCAAAACAAATTGCACAGTTAGAGAAGTCACCAGTAAACGCTCGAAGGTGCTGAGTCAACAGGGTTTAGTTAGCACACAAAAGGAATCATAAAACCTACCAAGTGCCACAATAGGAAGTATTTTATTCTGAATAATTTGCTAGGATTGATTAATAGTTATGGTGCTAGTGTAAGTCTTATTTCCTTCATGGCAATAGTGTCTTTTAGATATCTTTTAGGATCTTTGGAGGTTAGAAAATTTTAGAATCTGTCCAGGCACAGTGGCTCACGCCTGTAATCCTGGCACTCTGGGAGGCCTAGGTGGGTGGATTGTTTGAGCTCAGGAGTTCAAGACCAGCCTGAGCAAGAGCAAGACCCTGTCTCCACTAAACAACAACAACAACAAAAACCTAGCCAGGTGTCTTGGTGGGGACCTCTAGTCCCAGCTACTAGGGAGGCTGAGGCGTGCGGCTCACTTGAGCCCAAGAGTTTGCTGTGAGCTGTGGCAACACCACGGCACTCTACCCAGGGCGAGCAAGTGAGACTGTCTTAATCCCTCCCCCTCAAAAAAAACCCTTTAGAATAGTGTGTCTAGTAGATCTTTCTACATTCACTGTACTGGGTATTCAGGGGGCCTTTTCAAGCTAAGCACTCAAATCTTCAATCAGCCCTGAGAAATTACCTTCTATTATTTCTTTGATAATTTCCTACTGTCTGTTCTTTTCATTATTCCTAGTATTCCCAATATTTGGGGGGAACTTAATTAATTAAGTT